GTGGGGTAGCCGTTGTAACTATACTGAGACCTTACAACTTATATCTCGAGGTGGTTGGCCCATTTACGTTGTAGATGTTTATGGGCTCCAGTAACCACTTAACATCAGGTGGGTTGTGAGCTCGTCCATCCATCTAAGCAATAGAAAAAAAACATTTAATCCTGAAGAAACATTAAATAGATAAAATAAAACAAATCACACAACTTCACTCCTCGCGTACCCGTCAAAAAGTCCTGTATTAAGTTAGATTGACATGCAGGTCAACGCTCTAGGGCGACGCTAGAAAGACTTTTGACAGATACCTGCACTATAGACCACTATTTTATACATCGAAAACTAATCGATTCAATCAAATGATTGCGACAGTCTCTAATTGATATTTAACCTCGGGCATCGAAATTCCTAACCATGAAATAACCCTACATATTCTCCTTGATAAATTAAAAAATTATGATATAAATGCACAAGGGCACGGCTTGGGGCTGTAATCGACTACTTAATAAAAGAATGTGTGATATTCAACGGTCGTTAGGCAAGAAAACCTGCACAACTCGTGCGCATTAAAATTCAGGAACAATTCAAAGCAAAGAGAATATTGTACGATGAACCGACCAGAGCCCGATCCTTGGGGCTTAATTATGTCTTTGTCGTAGAAAAAACGCTTTTAATGATTCAAGTCGAGGTCCTGAAAGGACTACAAATGAATTGTGAGTATTGTCACTGTTACAAGAGCGCGGTGTGGCTGCTCTACACAGATGAATACCTACTTCATGATGTCGAGAAGCAAACACTAGTACCGAATCACGATCGAATAGCTTTATAATAACGAATGAAGATATTATCATGTTAAATCATTGCGTCAACTGCTTTTTAAGTGATAAAGGAAGATCTCTCTCGGCTATATTTAATGATAACTCAGAGGAATTCCCATTGTGGAATTAATAACTGTACATTATATACTGTACGTTGTTAATGCAAATAGAGTGATTAATACAAAAAAGATAACCAAAAGAACAAAATAAGTAATGATCCCAAAGAAATAAAATAGCAAACAACATTAATTAAACATTTCAAAACCAGACTTGAAAACGAATTAAAAACGATTTTCCGACGGGTCCATAAAGCAGACTCGATTACGACTCAAGTGTAAAAATCATTTTCAAATCCTCTTTACAGACGTCGAGGTGTAGCGCTACGAAACATCCACATTTCAAACCTGGCACCGTAAATACACAGACCTATCTCCGTGCTATAAAGTTAGCTGGGCCCCTCGTGCCAGACCCTGTGATTTCTTGATATTTTATTTAAGGCATTAAGCCGGCCCGCTGCTTCTGAGTCGTTAGAGTACGCCGTCTCTATTACGCTATTTTATGATGCAATTCCGAGCGAAAGGACTTTGTGCGAGATGCTGTAAAACTGTTCGCAAGCCGGTGGTGCCTCTCGCGAATTGTTTTTATATTTCGAGGGAACTGAAACTTTGTAAATACTGGACGTGCGACAAATGGGACCATGGGAATAAAACTGTAAAGATCGAAATTTTATAATGTTAATTTAAACAAAAGAGAAAATGTTGAATAATAATTGTTTTGAGATATTTTTATTTGATACCTATTATTTGATTCACGTATAAGTCTTCTTTGTTGTTAGTACATAAAGTATTTATCAAGATCGATAATTTAATCTTCATATACATTATATTATGTTCAATTAAATAAGTGGCTGCTACACAAATATTTAGCCAAAATCATCGTCAAACTTTGGAGCTTGAGGCTGTATTGTTCACTTACTACTCGAAAAATTAACGGTCGGATTTAACTTGAAGAACATAAGTTCGATTTACAAAATTACTGGTGGTAGGACCTGTTGTGAGTCCGCACGGGTAGGTACCACCGCCCCGCCTATTTCTGCCGTGAAGCAGTAATGCGTTTCGGTTTGAAGGGTGGGGCAGCCGTTGTAACTATACCTGAGACCTTAGAACTTATGTCTCAAGATGGGTGGCGCATTTACGTTGTAGATGTCTATGGGCTCCAGTAACCACTTAACATCAGGTGGGCTGTGAGCTCGTCCACCCACCAAAGTAATAAAAAAAAAAATTAGAACAATTTATATGTTTTTTATTGATAAATCATTTATCGAATGGCGGCCAGTTTGAAGTTTAATATTTGAAAACAAAAGGATACATATTAAGATACATTTAAAAGCATTTATAATTCTTCTCCTCATCCGCATTATTTCACAAATTCACTCCGAAATCGGGTGAGACTGCCGTTGATCGTACATATCATGAGTTTTTCTCCTCCCGAGATAGATAAGCAAGCCGTATTTTTTCAGTCTGGTCCAGAGGGCACACCCTCGTTTATCTTAACACTATAATCACCTATCAGATTTTATCATGCCTGGTTAAGTCGCATGTCCTCCTCAGCATTGATATTAGTAAGTTACAGTTAATTAACTAAAACTTTGAAACATAAATACACAACAGAACATAGGTATACATAAGTACCTACAGGCCAATTACTATAGTCATGTAACTCAAATTTCCCAACAAGTACTTTGATAAAACCCTCTATGATCCTTGAATAAATATGTCTACATAGAAACCTCCTATAGGTACGTATATTCTATTAGAAAAATATAAAATAGCGAATCTTGTAGGAGCTTTCTCCTACAATACTCCAACAGCGGACTTTTCCGCTGTTTGTATTAAGCGAAATAGCCTCATTACCCACGTAATGAGTTAGTTAACCACGCGATTGTTTTAATACGAACTGATGCGCACTTAACGAACGCCATTTGTCGAATGTCAGCCATCTTGCCACACAATCTTGGAGGGAAAGTTTTTGATCTTGTAAATTATTTTTTCTCGGAGATCGGAGTTTGACATCACAATCATCATAATAACTATAAGATGTCAAAATAAATATTTAGAACAACAAATAAGCAGAGAAGAATTTGAAATAGCAAGTTCAATAAAATTTTGATTTATTTCTGGTTTTTTCTCTGCCTACCTAATCTTTGGTAGGTTATGGGGCTATTCCGACTTCGCCCGGACGGGTAGGTGAGCTCGCGAGCTCAACCTGAGAGAATTGCTAACACTGGCCCTAGCAGGAACAGTGCTTTCCTGAATCTACCACCGAATCTAAATCGCGACCCACTGAGATGATCCGGCGAGAAACTCGGTGAGGGTCTATCTGCAGCAAAGCTTTTGTTCTAATACGCAGAATAAGATACTGAGGGATCCAACGGATCCACTCTCAATGGTTTTGTATGTTATTCATTCTAACACTAGCAGCAGCAAAAGTACAGGTCACTGTACTCGACATAACACTTAACCTATAGCATCAACTTTCTCAATTTCTGGCCGATTATTCTCAGGGGGTTGCTGTTCCCTGGAGCTGTTACGTCTCCTTTATTCGCAAGATGTGCTCGAGCAGTTTCAATCCTGGCTATGATTTAAAATACGTCAAACAGTTCTGATGACACGGGAAAGGCTTCCGGGCAACCTAAAAAAATTATATATCCACTCTAACAACAACAAAATGTTACAGAAAAATATGCTACATAATTAGTTTTTTCCCTTTTCTTCTTCTTTTTAGTCGAATACTTCATTGCTGAAGGTCGTGTCCTTGAAAGCCCTTCGTGGCTCTTTGTACCCTCCGCTTCCATTTGCTTCGGTTTTCGTTCGGTTTTCGGCTTCTCTCAGGGCGTTCGCAACATAGGGTCCAGTGAGCGCAGTTATCCGATCCGACCAACGGTTTGGTGGCCGGCCGGTTTTCCCTTTTAAATGGTTATTAATTATCAGAAGATATACAGCACATATTCCTTGAACAACCTTGATTTTACCTCATTATACCCCTAATTCCTGTTTCGAGTACCGATAATGGCTGGGTTATGAGCTCGAACGGATTGGAAACGTCGCGGCACTATCCTGTTTATAAGTTACGAAGCAATCATTCGATCCGATTTATTGACATTTCGTCATAATTATGTCTCAAGATGGATGGCAGCATTCATGTCGCGAAGCCGATGGTAACCGCTAAAAGTAAGAAGTTCATGAGCCCATTCAATCTACGTCTATCTCAATTCTTAACTACTTTTTTTTCCCTATTATGCTGATAGCCTTGAGAGGATATTTCAGCTTCACCCTAACGTTTGTAGGTGAGCTCACGGGGCTCAACCGGAGAGTTGCTAGCACTGACCCTAGCAAGAGCAGTGCTTCGCAGAATCTACCACCGCATCGGAAACGCGACCCACTGAGAAGATCCGGCGAGAAACTCAGTGGGCTGTGTCTGTGGATTAATTCGCTCGTAGAGCCCTTCGTCGCAAGCGACGGGTTCGACGAGGACGGTGACCGGTGCTTGTGGTGCCTAAAAGCACCGTTAATGGATCAGTGATAACTACAGAAAGAAACACCAACTATCAAACCTTTAGGCATGGTATCAATAAGCCTCTCACTGCCATCTATTTCATGTCAGCGTAGTTACTTTACTAAATTTTTGGTCTAAAATCAGAGACATCTGCTGACGTATTCAGACATATAAACCACAATGTTGCAATATAATTCTGACTACTAAAATATACAACAGAACAATTTACAAATATACGTTATACTTGTGTAATTGAAGATTTATGGATGAATGGATTTTACGAGAAGCATTCAGAGTAGTTATATATACCTTAGACTATAATTATTAGCCGTTTTAGTAGGTAACCATAGATATTGGACTACCAAAATGGTATCATAGTCGTGCAAAAATAAAATCAAATTGTAAATAAAATAAACACAATATAAAAATATATAACACGTACACATAGAGAACATAACTTTAGCAACATAACTTTAGCAACATAACATGCTAGATTATAAGGCAAATTTATGTTCATTTAATAAATGATCTTTGTTCTTATTTTTAATTTTGGTCAACATTCAGAAATATCCAACATATTTTCGCACTATTTCGCAGCGTAACAAATTCTATACCATGGCAACATGCAAATAATATTTCAAAATGGCCTACATTGCTGTGTTGACAAAATAAGAAAGGAATTGAGAAAGAAGCATTAACTGTACCTAAGCTATTAAAAGTAATAGTTAAAAAATTTGTGATCTTTTATTGAATTTTATAAAATGTATCTGAAATATATTATTTTAGTGTTTCTTGGAACGTGCATCTTCTTTGTGTCTGTAAGTATAGTGTATCAAGTAAAGAACGGAATCTGTAAAGTTTAGCACTATTCCCAAGTTTATTGTACTAACTTTAACTCAAACTATTATCTTCTCAAAGATAATTTTTAAATACAGCGCCATTCACAGAGACACTATACTCACTACCTATTAGACTAATTATTTTAACTGACGTAGACTAGTGCATACAGAAATTGGAGTTTTTAGAAGCTAGATAGGCTAGGGCGCGAGAGGTCGCCAGGATGTTTATAGGTCAGATCAATAATAAATTTTACACTAGAACTTGACAAAGTGGGTCATGATAAAATATTTCTGTACTTAAGCATTGTATACATATATTTTTAAATACACTAATAAAAACATTACAAACTACATAAGAATGTTGATGAAAAAATTGTTCTTACTCATTTTTATTTGTGAGCATGCCCAAGATAGGTCGGTGGCAGATAAACCAGCATTCTTTAGCATACACTCATTAAAACCTATTTATACATTACCCATGGATGACAAAGATGTAATTTACCCATTTGGATATAAGGTATAAGGCAAGAGAAAATGGTATTCTGAACTTTAACATAAACTAAAGGTAAAATGTTGGAGTGCCTCAAATATTGCATTAGAAGTATTTGCTACTATTACTTCCACTCGCATAGGCAATAATCTTATATTAACAAGAGAATATTACAACATTCTTGTAATAGTGTTTTGGTGAACAGGGCACTTTTGAGAACAAACGTTGCAAGTGTGTGTGTCCGAGCCCCGCAGCTGTCTTCAATAACACTGCTGACACAGGACGCAGTCCGTTTATCGACAATGTGCCTCCTAATAAATGGTTTGTGAATAATTTAACTTTTAAATTAATATTACATTATATGAAATTTAAAAAAAACATTTGTTAACATGCGAGAGATATAATTGCTTTTGTTGCTTCAAAACTTTACAATAAAATCATTAATTAATGAGTATTGTAAAGTTGATTTAAATGTATCAATTTCCCAACAGCAACTGTGAAGGCCTAGTGCTACCCCGAATTGGAGACCAACTCAAAGATCGTGCTCAAGAATTTTGTCCCCGTTGTCAGTGCAAATATGAGAACAGAAACATCACAATTATAAAGGTTATTTTTATTCACTATTATTATGACACTAAAAGAAGAGAATCAAGTACACAATTCATAGTTCTATTCTGATGTAATAATAATTTATTGTTATAATTCCAACATAATACAATTACAAGTCTGTAAGGTTACAGGAATTTGTATAACTAATCTATTATGCATTTGATCAGGTAGTGGTGATTATTGTTATCTGGGTGATCATGTTGCTGGTGGGGTACATGGGTTTCCTGATTTGTTTGGATCCTCTAATCAACAAGCGAGCCATGGCATCATATCAGGAGCATACCAATGAGGATGTAAGTATGTTTGTCACAAGTATTCTAATATAAAAACAAAATTTGTGATTTAAGACACATTCTATATCAGGTAGGTAACACAGCATGAAATTTTACTAAATGTAAACATTTATTAATAGAAGTCTTTGAATATAGCTAGAAATATATTTTCTTACTGTTTTTAAAAATATATATCTGGCATTGAACCTTGGTTGCTCACAGCGGGTCTAGTGGATTCAACGTCAATCAAATAACAATGGAGAGGGCTTGGTGGTTTTCTGCATGACCAATCAGGAATGAGTACATTTGCATGAAGTGGCCAGGTCACATTGCTTATAGAACAGATGGCCACTGGCGCTTAAAATTTCTCAAGCACACCAGAAAACTTAGCATAGGTAGCCCTCGCACAAGGTGGACCGATGACCTATTGAAAGAATATGGCAATCAGCTGGATGCAGGCAGTGCAGGATCGGTCATCATGGTGAGGCTTGGAGAAGCCTATATTCAGCAGTGGACATCTGCATATCGTCATTGTCTAACCAAAATCTGCTATGTGCAAAAACTCTTTTGAATTAACGAGTAAGAACATTTTCGTATAAAATTTTATATGAAGGTGAATTTTTAAAAACCATATCAAATGAAAGCTATACATAAATATTAAAGCTATAGACACATAACAATTTGTGAAGTTATACTTCTTTAGGCGCGTTATGAAAAATTGATGAGTGTAATTTTACGATGCGCATGCACCGTGACACAAAATTATGTAACTTGGCGAGTCTGAATATAGCCGCAGGTGAACTTTCCGAACCGTACCGAGAATTACCGAATTTATACGATGTCAAGAAAAGGGATGTCCAATATGCGTGTTTAAGGATGTTGTTTAATCGATTTTTTTTCAAATTGATTAAAATTTAAATAAAAAAAAAGAAATAAATTTAATAAAAATAAAGTATAACTTCTTACGCGCGTACATAAGTACACACACCCTTTTTTTATATGGGAGATGGGCTGTGAGCTATATGAAAAGGTCAAAAAGTAAAAATCTCAAAAAGTGCATATAGCAGATTTTGGTTTGACAATGACAATATATTCAGCAGAGGATATCTGTGGGTTGATAGATAGATAGATAGAAAATAATTCAATTTGCACCTGCAATACTGACACAAAAAAAATTGTAATACATCAATAAAATATCAAAAAATTAAATTTTTTATTGTGCAAACTATAATTTAAAGCTGTTGTGATAAAATGGCAAAATCTTTGCAGGATGACAACCCTATACCAGGAACGTCTCAGACGATGGGTGCAACTCCCCGCGGGAATGTTTTGAACCGCGTTACCCATCAGCAGGACAAGTGGAAGCGTCAGGTCCGTGAGCAGCGTCGCAACATTTATGATAGACACACTATGTTGAACTAGCTCATGACCAAACTCAACTCCTCAGACCATGAATGATAATGAGAATGTACTGTTCGAATACAGAGATTGACAGGCATGTGTATTGTACAAACAATGCTGATAGAATGCAATATAAATAAGAATGGGAATTTCAAAGGCCTCCCCCAAATTCTTATTTCATAATTGCAAGATACAACTAAGAACCACAAAATATTCAATTTAAAGTATTGTTTCAATTGTTATTTTTGTTATAATACACTGGATTCGGTGTTATTCACAGCTTTGTCACATTCCTTCAGAATGTCTACATAAAAATAGAGCATAACAATTTGAGCTGTTACTGTTATTATCAGGATACCTTTTGCATAGTTGAAGCTGTACAGCTTCCTCTGTGTGTTAACATCGCGTTAATATTTAAATTATTTGGAGTTGAGTCATTATGGCCCCATTTTGGTTAGCAATGAATTATTATGTTAAGCAAAACATCAACTATATTATTTGATCATAAACTCAGAATTGGTGACATAAACATTGTCTAATTGACGACGGTCATAAGTTACCATTAGCTGATAGACATACAATAAATTGCTTGTTTAACATTCTAAGGCAGGGGTGGGCAACGCAGCGCTCGCGGGCGTATTTTAATGCGCCCTCGCTGGACTAATGTAAATGTATCAGAGCCAGAGCGATTTACTTACTCTTGTCAAACGGCGATATACAGCAAGTAGTCAGTTGAGTTTAGGATTGTGCATAGATTAACAGTTTGCTAACTTTAAACGTATCTAATAACACGCACGTATTTTTTGTTAGTGTGTGATCTTATTTCGAATAGACCGTGCATTTAAAACTACCAAGTAATCCGAAATAATTATTTTCTTTCAATACCGAACAAAGCTTAATGACTCACGTTTAGATAATTGTTTAAGGACTGGGACCTCTAAATATATCCCCAATTATAAGAAATTTCACACTGAATTACATGTATCAATATGTATGACACCAACAAAATAAAGTTATAAAAAATCTGTTTTTAATGCCTATTGATACCTGTTGATTATCTGTAAAATATGCGCCCTCGGTGATTTTCAAATTTAGTATTGCGCCCTTAAGCACTAAAAAGTTGCCGACCCCTGTCCTAAGGTTTCAAATGTCTACTCATAATAATTATTCTATATAGTTATGTTTTAAATTCTTAGCATGCAAATCAAGGCTATAGTGGCTAACCATTTTCTTTTGTAAAAAAAGACTAAACCTATTTTCATTAATAAAGAAATAGACAATTACAGGAAGCCTCACCTATAATTCTGCAGCTATTAATTATTATCATTGTGTATAATTTGTGTTAACATAATTTATTATTTTGCATTTCGCCAATGTATTTTTAACTTTCGTTTTAAATAGTCAACCAAAATAATTGAAGTTACTAGATTGAAAGTAATAATTATATTAAAAAGAATTTGCTGCATATTATAAAGAACTACACTTATGTAATCATACAATTTAATTTTTCCATTTTAAAATTGTTAATTATATAATAATGTTTATGATTGAATTTTGGCTATTTATAAAAATATTATTATTTATAGATTTGAAATTTTTTATATTGTTCACTTGGTACTAAATAGTCTCTAAATCATTTTAATGTTAAAGTGAAATAATTATTTTTATCACATTTGCTGTTAATTATACATAACAGTAAAACATGATATTTAAAATCATTGCAAGACAAAATGGATTTACAAGATTCATACAAATAACGTTTATTTTAAACTCAGAAGTAGTTAAGTTTTGTAATCGTTAAGTATTAAATTAGTTCTTCGTTTTCATAGTATTAAAATAAAATGGAACTATTTGATCTATTTTAAAGATGTCATCTGTATAAATGGTTTTTATTAAAATAATTTTTGATTGTTATTTTACTGTAATTTATTGTTTTTAAACGGTGTAAAAATATAATAAAATAATGTAAAAGCTAATGTTTAATAATTTTTAGTATAATTAAAACAAAATACCCATTGTAACATTATTTGAAAAAGATATATTTCATTCAAAATATATTTTAACCAATTAATAAAAAATTCCGTGATTATGGTTTATAAAATCCAACTTCATGATTATTATCGGCAAATTCGTTACCTAAACGAAGTGAAAATCAGTTTCAATAAATTATTGTTGAAATATTTTACAATACGCTTACGCCTGCAACAATTGATAGGAACCACCGCCCTTATCCCGCCCGTCTTACCCCGAAGGAAAACACAAATTTTCGAAATTATTAACTAGTAAAAATTATCTCACAAAAATAATAATGTTATATAAATATTATTATAAACTGAGCATTATTTCTTACATTATTCTTAGTATAGATAGATAGATATAGATATATAGATAGATAGATACTTGACGAAAAAACTGCTAATTAATACATTAAATATAGGAAAAAATATAACATAGGAAATAGGAAAAAATTCTATCAAATCTAGCCGGGGCTTAAATAACAAACACATAGAAGCATAAGTACCCACAAACTCCATTCGTCCAACTTTAAAACGTAGGTATACTATTTCTGATGGAAGGACGTATTGCAAGCTCATATGAGAACTTGCCAACATTACTGCCTAAATCCATCGCAGAGTAATCATGCGTTCTGATTTTTAGGATCAAACTCTTATACAATTAAAAAATGGGTGGAAGGCAAGATCCACATTATACCTATGGCTATAGTAATCACTCAATACTAAGTACCACTTCGATAAAGCGGCACGACACGAGAACCCTCTCATCGTGGCCGCCGGTAACTACATTCTAACTACATTCCCGATCCTGCGGACAGAATGGAAAGCAGTCGACGTCGCCCCAAACATTTCGGATCCTCCCGATCCACTAACGGTACTTCTAGGTACCTCAAGCACCGGTCATCGTTCTCGTCGAACCCGTTGCTTGCGACGAAGGGCTCGACGAGTAAATTAACCCTCAGAGATAGCCCACTGAGTTTCTCGCCGGGTCTTCTCAGTGGGTCGCGTTTCCGATCCGGTAGTAGATTCTGCGAAGCACGGCTCTTGCTAGGGTTCGTGTTAGCAACATCGTCAGGTTTGAGCCCCATGACCTCACCGACTAGTTAAGGTTCCGCTGATATAGCCTCTCAAGGCTATCATCAGCTTAGGTAGGAAAAAAAATTTCTAAGTAGATCTTGAGCTTGTTCTACCTCTATTATACTATCTACGCACTAAAAAAAATAAACATGTCATTTTACCAGTAAACTGAATTTTATTTTTAGAAAAAAATTATGGTTATTTAATTTCAGCTCCACATTTAATAAGTCAAAATGAAATGAAGCTCTATCTTTAGAAACATAAAGCAGAATTAAGGATAAAAATCAACTTACCTACATACCTAACCTAGAATAAATTCCAAGTGTGATTGAAAATTGGCCTGTAAATAAATTACTTTTCTTGGGGGTATTTTTTTTCCTACATATTCTATTACACTCGGGGGGTTATAGTAGATAGAGTAAGTAGGTGAGCTCACGGGGCTCTAATCTGGCGACGTTGCAAACACTAGCCTTAGCAAGAGCAGTGCTTCGCAGAATCTACCACCGGATCGAAAACGCAACCCACTGAGAAGATCCAGCGAGAAAACTCAGTGGGCTATGTCTGTGGGTTAATTCAGGGTACATGGTGAAATAAATGAAAGACATAATACTTTATTAAACATTTAAAATAATTGTTCGTGGTTTCAATTGTCTATTTAGACTTAAGAAAACAAATATAGATGTTGTATAATATGATTGGTACAAGAATCGTAAATTTTAGCCGTCGAGTACATATATAAAACAAGACTAAGTTATCAGTGTACGTAAACCAAACATGAACAAGGCACATTGTTCATTAATATCAAAAACGTATGAAAAGACGTTGAACTGCTCGCTGCAAAAAAACTACAGGTAACCTTATAACGCGGTTCAAACTTTAACATTAAAACAAAAATTGCCCAAAAACCCCTTTACATTTTTTATTGCCGTTGTAGTCAGACTAGCATACGGCCCACCTGATGGTGAGTGGTTACCGTCGCCCGTAGACCTCAGCAATGCCAGGGGCAGAGCCAGGCCGCTGCCTACTTGTTTTTTAAGCACTATGAACACACGATATATGGGAATAACCCGGGAATTTTAGGAACGTATCTACCTTGTTATGGGAGGGTTACCTGTACTGAAAACATTCGGAGCCTTCGAGTATAATAAATACAGTAACAATGTCAGATTGCCTTTTAAACTGAAACACTACGCCGCATTATGAATTTCGACATTTTATGAAAACATCTTATCGTGCCATTGCTGTTCCATGAAAAATAAAAGTTTGATGGCATATTAGCTGACGTATAGCTTCATATAATCGTACAACAATGACACATCAAAAATACGATTTCTCTCCTTACATATTATTAGTAATTTTCGTACATATTTACATTAATACACTATAATATGAAAATTATATTATAATTTAAATGAATTATTATTTTATTATACCAACAACGATTTATGTACTTACAAAGTTACATGATGAATGTACATATTTTAAACATATAATTTCATATTGTATAATCAAATACTGAAATCTTGGCTACATTCATAAGCAAATTGTGTTACTTTCTTAATTTAAAAAAAAACTATTATACTAAATCATATATGTTCATGTTTTTAAATAGGTTTTTCCTATTTGATTCCAAATAGTTCAAACAGAAAGAAATCTTTTTTTTTTAAATACCTCACATTAATAATAAATATTTTTTATGAAATAGACAAACAAAAACATTACAAAGTTAAACAATATAAAACGTTAATAAATAAAATTTCACAGAAATGTGATGTTCGTGAAAAATGGTAATGATAAAAATTAAAAAACCAACTCTTGGCCTGTTTTAAGTACACTAGAGAACTAAACATCATTCATCATGATCTATCACATAAAGTTATCCATTGAGGTGAATCTTAAACTGACTGAAAAATTGAAGAGTAAAGTTGTTTGTGTTTTGGTTTAGTATTTTACATCATATAATTCAATTGTTGTGTCAGTTTAAAAATGAGCCTATTTTTTTTTTTTAAATGGTCTTATATATGGAGCGTAGAGGTAACGAGAAATGTATCAAGCTGTAACCAGTAAATTAAGTCTCAAAAATCCACCAAAATAGCGATAGCATAGACACTTGCTATGCTATCATATGTATGCAGCAGTTGTAAACTGAGTGAAGGGGACCGAATTGAAAAATTTAACAATTTTGGACTTTGAGGTCCAGAATCCACACGTTTTGTACATATAATTTAGTCTGACATCAGTGCTAGGAGCGCAAAAATTTAATATTTCGTCTTCTCGCATTAAAACTGTATAATCTCAAAACTTACTAATTTTACAGGAGAGTGTTTTAAAGGTTTAACATGTGATATTTTTAATATTAATCATCTTTGCAACATTTATTTCTTATCTTTTACCAGTTACATTATCTGTCTTTCAAAGTAAGATAAAATTATGTATTAATTTTGTTCATAAAAAAACAAAACTTTTACTTGTTACTAAAAAAAAACCTAAACTACGCTCTTTTGACAGTATTTATGAGAAAAATACTGGTGATACTAAATGATTCTGCATATTAACTCAATTACGAATATTTTTGGAAATTGTACACTTTTAATGCGAAAAGACGATATAAATAAAGCGGTGATCATACAATTAAAACGCTTATTTAAGGGATTTTTTTTCCAAACTAACAACTATTTACAAATCGTTCTTAATTATTCATCCAGTTGCATTACTATTTGAATTTGTCACTATAGATAATTCACCAATATATAATTATAATTCACCAAAAATAGTTAACGTTTTTATTCTTTATTCTTTATCACGTTTGCTTTATTCGTGGCTATTTAATAAAGAAAGATTTCAAATCATTCTTACTTAAATGACCAGAATTGTATATATTATTATTTTTACTAGAGGAAGTGTGAAAGTAGCCCCGGTAATTAACAAATTAAAGAGCGGACGGTTAGCGTGGTATAAACATCTGATGCGTAAAGAGAAAATGCATGTGACTAGGAGATGTATGGAAATGGTAGTGCAAGGTAGAGAGGGAAGAGGTCGACCGAAGAAGACATGGATGAAGTGTGTGAATGGCGTTATGAGAGAGAGAAAAAGAGAGCGAGGAGTGAGTATTGAGATGACGGTTGATAGAAAAAAATGGAAGAGATGGATAGCTGTGCCGACCCCCCACTTAGTGGGATAAGGTGGAGAAAAAGAAGATTATTTTTGGTACCCGGTAAGAGGTGGATGAGGAGAGCCGAAAACCGGGCTCAATAGTGTGGATTGGGAGAGGCCTATGTCCAGTAGTGGACGACTGTGGGCTGTTGATGATGAAGATTATTTTTTATTTATACAAAAAATACGAAAAACATATTAATTTATTATTTATAAAATAAATAAAAAAATTGAAGTTTCCTCCCCAATTGGTCGCTTCTTGTCGGACATTTTTTTATACACAGTGTGCTCATTACTACTACTCTCCATAATAATATTAGAGTAAAATCTATACAATCCCAGAGCCTCACACCGTTCACTATAGCAAAGTCGATATTTTGATTAGACTAATACGTAGTTAATAACGTACCTTATTATTATATAATTATTGCTTGGTACATAAAAACCTTGAATAGAAAAACTTAAAATCATTATAAGCCAAACCATTTCGCAGGTCATAACATTAGTTAGATGATTCGTAGTTTGTTTAATACGAGATTAATATAATAACAATAATAATCACATCATCGAATCGAATTTGAAATAAAATACAAAATACTATCGAGAGGTGAAATGCTTTTTGGTCTAAGCGAAATTTCGTTTAACACGCGATATTTATTTTTGTAATTAAAGGTTCGTTTTATTTGGTATCAGCATCAACAGTTCGATGTTTTTAATTGAAATTCAATTAAGTTTACTCCATTCAAATAGCCAAAGAAGTTTTTTGTTATCATATTTTTTTTCAAATTTTAAACTTTAAATGACTCTTATGTAAAGTAGCAAAAATTTTACTTAAACCAAAAAGCCTTTCACAACTCGATATAATTATGTACATATGTATCATGGTTTTTATGTAATCTGTAAAATATACAATAAAATATAGTACAAGGGTATCTGTAACTCGTCATTTGCCTCCATTTTAAGCAAAATATGAGTTTTTTGTGTGATGGATTTGTGTATAATACGCAATAATACAATTCAGTACACGGGAAAAAACGTTATCCCTCCAAATCATACAACTTATATGGTGTTGCAAGACTTCATACAAAAAGTCATACAAATATACTCACATTACTTTTTTATTTTACGTATACTGTTTCGACGAGGTCAATAAACTATTGCTTAGAACATACTCGAAAACATTGCATTAAACAAAAGATTTTATTACAAAAAAGTTACTTTTATTTTTCTCGTTAACACATATAATAGTACCGTACCTTGGTACCATTATTACTGTTTTTTTTTATTTTTTTTCGACATTTAATGAATTTATTCTGAATAATTATTCACGACTAATAAAAGCCTTGCTTTCGTTTATAGCGAAGCCGTCATGCTCCACTATTTGTAAATAATATATCAGCATAAGAACGAATACAAAATTACTTTAAAAGCGTTCGTGTAAAATCATCTACATACAGTAAAATCTAACTTTTAAACATATTTTGACCATTTAATCGTTGTTACTGAGCAAATAAGTACATAATGTGTGCACAGGAAATATTGTATATCTTAATACATAGTTTTAGTTTCTCGTCAGAATTTGTCAGTGGGGTGCGATTCCGATCCGGTGGTCGGTCGGTCGGTCGATTCAGCGAGCGCTGTTCTTGTTAGGGCTAGTGGTTAGAAAGTCCGTCCAGTGTGCTTAGTGCGAATTATTTAACTTCTCGATCGCGTAAAAGTTAACTCAAATTTGTATGGAGTTTGAACAAGTCCTACGTTTGCCGCTAGGGGCGCTGTTCCAACTCCTTACAAATTTCAGTTAACTTTTACGCTATCGAGAACGTTAAAAAACTCGCACTAAACATACAGGTTAAGCCAACGTGCTCACCCACCAGTTTTCACCTTGACTAACCAGAATAGCCCCTCGAGGCTACAGGCAGATAGGTAGATAAAAAACTGTTAATGTTACTGCTAATTCACTAATTGCTTTTATATCATTTTTATCAACTAAATTCGTGTACTTATCTTGTAAATATCGTTCAAGCGATTTCCACTAATTGGCTAAAAAGTATTTCATCTGATGATAGTAAACCTTATAAAAAAAATTGTCTACGAATACTGCGTATCATGTTGATTGGCCACCTAATGTGAAGTGGTCAACGGAATTTTAACGTAAATATATTTTCCATAAAACTTCTAAAGAAAGATTATACGAGAGGTGTTCAATAAACAATGGTAATGCGATACATTCTCTCCGGAGAGAAAAAATAAATACTGGGAGGCATGGCCCAGGCATTACATATAACAATAATATAAAGCAATCAATTGTCTTTTGTTTTTTAAAAATAGATGTCATTTTCGGTTACGTTATGTCGGAACGTGTTCTTAAAAATGGATAAATTTGAAATTCGCGCGGTATTAAAATACCTCTATTTGAACAAGATCTTAATGAATCGAGCCAATTTTTCGACCAATTCTTCACCATTATAAGCCGGAAACGAAACAATGCGTGACTTGGAAGTCTTCACAAACTGCAAAGAAATTTAAGGATTTCATCTGCCGGTAAGATGCCGGGCTGTTTTTTCTGGGACAGCCCAGGGATGGTAATGTTCGAATACCTTAACTATGGTCACTATTACGGGAACTTTGTAAGCATGACAAATAACAAAGTTGCGTAAGGAAATACGCCAGCAACGTCGCGGAACACTCGCTAAAGTTGTTTTGTTTCGCCAAGATAACGCCACGGCGCGGCGCACAAGTCCAGAGCTGCGGTGGCTGCCATTCGAAGCCACAATTGATGGAACCTACTCCATATTCACCGGACCTAGCTCCTAGAAATTTCTACCTATTTCTGCAGTCAAAGGAACATCTCAATAAGTCATAAAATAGAAGATGATGACGCATTAGTCGCCACGGTACATGATTTTTGAAGGAATGAAGATGACTTTTTTAAAAGTGAATTTTACCTTCAGAAAAAAATATACAAATCGAATAAATCTGAAACGTGACTAAATGAATCAAAATAATATTTAATAAAAGATAATTGCGTCATAGTCATTAACATTTTTTATTGAACACCCCTAGTATGATTCTTTAAGTAAGACGGTAGATATAAAAATTGTTCTCATAACGCTTTTTTTACGGATTTTATAAAATAATCTCCGTAATATAGAAAAATATTGTACTTTAATTTTTCAATAAAATTTCATTAGGAGTGAATCCATTAATGTCTACTTTATATAAATCGAGAAACGAAAACCTCTGATAATTGTCATATCTTATCGCATCGCCAGTAATCGCTTGATTAGTATCTCTTCTTCTAAGGCAAACAAGCTTACTGCTCACTCGTTATCAAGTGGTTCCGAGAGCACCTAGAGAGCACAACGTGGAAGCCATCACCCAATTACATATATTAGCCATATTTTTACAATTGCCGAGGACAAAAATACAAAGTAATTTTCTCTTATACTTGCATTAGCGGTACGTTACCAGACTGATAAGTGCAAGCTCAAAGCGTGCCCCGATCAGTGAGGAGTGCACTAACATCGTCCGTTAACGTTTAAGAAATTCCGTCTATAAACTATGTTCATATCGAGAGGTATTGTCAAGATTTCAAGCGCTTAATCTTTTTACATTTCATAAGGTTACTTTGTTCATATAAAAATTTATTATCTAAGAACCGTAATGTACATTAAAAGTAATTCCGTTTCTGTTGTTCACCTTTCGTAATTAATTTAAGACCATTATTGTGTTCCAAGGCATTAGTTAAACTATGCATTGTGAATTGTTTCCAACTTTCGCGACTATCTGCATTAAAAACACTATTATTCGAAGGATTCTTAGAGCGTTTTTAACATTTACGAGTGCCGTCGATATTTCGACGGTGTTCCAAACGCCGCGCTCGTAAACGTTCAAAAGATTCCTATAGATACAAACATAGATACATACATACCGAGCGAATAAAAGCAAAAACTTAAATTATTCCGCCTGATCGTTCTCTGGAAGAAACTGGCCATGTACTTTTCAATATTTTTTCATTCGTGTTCATTTTCGTTTACAACAAAGCATACTCTATTCTACTCTACTATTTTGTTAGTTTTTCTTTTTCTCTCGATTTATAACTACAATATTATATTACTAAACGATAACAGGTTTACATTTGTAAAGAATATATATAATTCACGAGATTAATACAAGAATATATGCTCTGTCATTTTATGTTTAGTAAATATATATATATACCCTTTCAGTCTTCGACATCTTCACCCTGCATCAGTAGCGTACGTGCCTGTAATTAAACGAGTTCTGGTTCAGCTTGTTTCACGGGAAGTTGTTTTCCTCTTTACTGGTGGTAGGACCTCTTGTGAGTCCGCACGGGTAGGTACCACCACCCTGCTTATTTCTGCCGTGAAGCAGTAATGCGTTTCGGTTTGAAGGGTGGGGCAGCCGTTGTAACTATACTTGAGACCTTAGAACTTATATCTCAAGGTGGGTGGCGCATCTATGTTGTAGATGTCTATGGGCTCCAGTAACCACTTAACAGCAGGTGGGCTGTGAGCTCGTCCACCCACCTAAGCAATAAAAAAAACCTATAAGCAATGGGCCGATAGAAACCCTTGAAAATGTTTCATGCTTGATTTACAGATGATCGCGGTACCACCACCCTGCCTATTCCTGCCGTGAAGCAGTAATGCGTTTCGATTTGAAAGATGGGACAATCGTTGTACTGCAAAAACGGAGATTCGAAGCTCATCTTTCAAGATGGTCAGACGACATTATCGTGGTTAATTTGTACTGGCTCCGGTGACCACTTAACACCAGGCGGGCCGTGGATGAGCTATCCACAGATCTTAGCACAAAGAAAAAAAACTTTTTTTTGTTTACGAATATTTTTGCTTAACCTACATGAGAGTGGACGTTGTATCGCCTACTATTAAGCTCATCTGTGCAATAAAATGAACACTTCTATTGATGGTATAACAATTCTTATCTGCCTCATATTCTAATCTAAACAAACACGCTTTCTTTAAAACACTGCCTTCAGAAATAACCTTCAGAACAAGAGAACAATTTGTTAAAGAATATGACTGCAAAATGTGTTCCTGTATTTTGCATTATTACTTCATTTTAACCATAACTTTTTTATATGATAACAGAATCAGGGTGACTAGTCAACAATTCAAGCTATGCTGTTGGGTGCTGTAGTTCAGGCAGTACACTCAATCTGGATTGTATTAAAGAAGCAATGTATTACGTCGCGCTTTGCTCAGCAAAGATCCCACGAACTCGCACCTCAGCGCATTGCCCCTTAACTCGATCGTCTATCTCGCTCGCACTTAGAGAAAATCGCACAGCACGGCATACATCGCGCAGCTTATTTGCAGAGCAAAACATAGCATTACTAAATCCAGCTTCAGCTCAGCACAGCACTTGGCATCATCTCTTGACTAGTCACCCTAAAGCATTCCAATTGAACTGCCAGATAGATTTAATTATTAAACTCCAATTATGCTATTTAAATCTTAGGTAGGACCGAATCAACCACAATCGTGTTGATGTGTACGTCTTACCTCTTCCGAGCTGTGTTCCTGGTAGAACTTGACTTTTTTCTTGTTGATCAGAGGATCAAGGCACAACAGGAAGCCCATGTAGCCGAAGAGTAACGTTAACACCCATAATACCATTATGACGACCACCTGTACCAGACAAAACCAATTTTTAACAATATAGAACCAATCGCGTCTAACTTAATGACTAGTAATAGTAGTGACAGCGACGAAAGCAATCTGGCTCGCTTCGCATATAGTAGAGAAATGAATCTCAGTTATCAAGAAGAAATTCATTGATACGTTCCTCGTAATTTAACCAAACTTAATACCGGGGATGTTGTGGATTTGTTTGTTTGGCGGTTTTTTTTTTATCCTACCTTTGCTGATGCTTTGAGAGGCTATATCAGCTTCGCCTTAACGAGTAGATGAGCTCACGAGGCTCAAACCGGAGTGGTGCTAACACTTTGTCTGTGGGTTAAATGGCCAATGCTGATGCACTTGTGCATATGGTAACAAGAAGTTGTGAGGTATGTGCGCATCTAAAAGCGCATTCAATGCTTTCGTTGTTCAATCAATAGGGATCTTAATTTCGGTCACTCGTCGCTCTTACTACAAGACCGGACGGGTTTCTTTTGATCGTTATTTGAGATATTTCATCGATCGAAACGTTATGGTTATGGCCAAATCTGCGAATTTGGTATCGCAAAATGAGTTTATGAACATTTTCAATACGAATTAGCGGGAAGCGATATCGTTCTTTATTCAATATAAAGCACCGAACTTCATTACTTTTCCACTTTATTAAAATTGAAATTTTTCATTTTATTCTTACATATCTCTTGTGAATTAAACGCACTACATTAAAAATATGACATACGTGAACGTCAAACAATCTGCATCTGCAACATCCCTAGTAAACACTATTTGGTTTGTTTGTGTTTAATTATTATACTTTAATCAAATCATATTGTAGATTCGGTATAAAGTAGATTTTTTCAGATCGACCCTTAACATCTGGAGCAGAAATGTAGTGCTTATTCGGCCATAAAGAAAACTTCGAAACTCTGTAACGAAGCAATCATTTGTACTTGATTTCTTCGATTTGGGTACCAAGAATCGTTCCCTTAGCCGCTTTCAGACTACGCTATAATATAATAGCATTTAGTATAAAGCTTACCTATAGCACAACAATATCGCACACCATACATTGTTATGGACATGTTCAAACTGCACTGTACAATATAATACATATATTCTTGGGTATGTATAGGCTGCTATACTATATGGCATTATAGTATAGCGTAGTCTGAAAGCAGCTTTTATTGCTGAAAATTAAACAGTATTGACTTTATGTTCGAAGATTTTATGACTAGATAATATAGTAAAAGCATGCCAGTGATATGTTTAGCGAACTCACTTTTATAACGGTAGTGTTACGAATTTCAAAGTGACAATCGCAACGAGGGCAAAACTCCAGTTCGTGTCCTTTAAGCTCGGTGCTGACTTTCGGCAGGACAACGTTTTCGCAATTGCTGTGAAGCATGAGAAGGATTTTCATACAATAATTTGTTCTGCCACATGAACAGAAAATGTTTGCTACTTCGCGAAGACTAAGCTAATCACTACAGGGTTTGCGGAGGGACTTCGGTTCGCTCTGTATTTTGTACCGTATGTTCCATGGGGAGTGCTCTGAGGAATTGTTCGAGATGATACCGGCATCTCGTTTTTACCACCGCACCGCCCGCCACCGGAGTAGAGTTCATCCATACTACCTGGAGCCACTGCGGTCATCCACAGTGCGCTTCCAGAGATCTTTTTTGCCACGCACCATCCGGCTATGGAATGAGCTCCCCTCCACGGTGTTTCCCGAGCGCTATGACATGTCCTTCTTCAAACGAGGCTTATGGNGGAATGAGCTCCCCTCCACGGTGTTTCCCGAGCGCTATGACATGTCCTTCTTCAAACGAGGCTTATGGAGAGTATTAAGCGGTAGGCAGCGGCTTGGCTCTGCCCCTGGCATTGCTGAAGTCCATGAGCGACGGTAACCACTCACCATCAGGTGGGCCGTATGCTCGTCTGCCTACAAGGGCAATAAAAAAAAATAAAAAAAAACATAGTATAAAACAAAGTCGCTTTCTCTGTCCCTATATCTGTCTGTCCCTATGTATGCTTAAATCTTTAAAACTACGCAACGGATTTTGATGCGATTTTTTAAAATAAATAGAGTGATTGAAGAGGAAGGTTTACAAGTATAATAACATCCATTAAATAGTGGAGAAATCAATAAAAAATTACAGTTTCCGAAGCGAAGCGAGGGCGGGTCGCTAGTATCATATAAAATACAGTTAGCGCGAGTTATCTTGTACCCAAATCTTACATACATATAATAAATCGTTACATCTCTATTTTAAACCAACACCTTTCAATCAAGTATTTCTACGGATACCTTGTAGGAAACCTATTTACAAAAAAAAAACAGACAAGAACATTATAACACAAAAGAAAAACCATAACAATTATGTTTATTTTCAATCTTGATCTTAATTTTTTCTAGTACTAGGTATATGTATCTGTTAATATCGTACCTAATATCTGTGAACAAAACTTTATATTACAAATATTGATCGTTTCAAATTCGTTTAAACCGACTTCAAATTAAAAATGTAGAAGTTTGTCAATTTGAGTTGTATTATAAAATTGTTTATTCAATTGCGTTGCTCTATCCAAAGTAACCTACTGCCCAGAGATATCGCAGAATTACAATCAAATGATATATTATATTTATGGAATGTTTATCAGCTAACAATTTCATGCTTATGGCACGTGTGGCACGCACGGGCATAACGAAAACACACAAAATTGAAAACCTTTCTATCCGCTTACGTTGCACACGTCTGAACTCGTAATACGCTTGCTTATGCGCTGTTATTAGTACATATAAAATCTCTGTACATCTATATCTGCTGCACATACAATCTATCTATACTATAAAGTGAAAAAATAAATTCCAATATTTAATTTAGTGTTTTGTTATGCTACATTACATTGCTTGTTAAATGTAAATGCACCCCCCTATTACCCTCTTCAGCCAACCTATACTCCTGGGGCAGGAAGGTCAAGTTTTTTTTTTATTATTGCTTAGGTGGGTGGACGATCTCACAGCCCACCTGGTGTTAAGTGGTTACTGGAGCCCATAGACATCTACGATGTAAATGCGCCACCCACCTTGAAATATCAGTTCTAAGGTCTCATATAGTTACAACGGCTGCCCCGCCCTTCAAACCGAAACGCATTACTGCTTCACGGCAGAAATGGACAGGGTGGTGGTACCTACCCGCGCGGACTCACAAGAGGTCCTATCACCAGTTGTGGAAGTTAAAGACTAGTACACAAAATGAATCTAAATCTAGGGCTTTCACTGATTGTAGTCCAATTTGGTTCACTGCGGGCATACTTCATCATATATCATCACAATATTTCTTTTACTAATAAGCTATTTAAGAATTGTTATTAAGATAAAGACAGAAAATAGTTTTAATCTTTTATGTTTTTTAATAGAACCGATCACTTTTTTTAGAACTATTCAGAGATACGGAATCTATAAACTTTTAGAATCTATAAATTATGTGCTAGATAGAAAACGCTTCACGGCATCACGTTACACGAAGTTTATCTACTACCAAATCCTCATTACTGGAAAGAGACAGAACATTACTTTTTGGTCCCCAACAAAACACTTGATGATTGACTTATCTTAGAATTTACGTCAGGCCTCAGAGAGACTTTACCTTAGTAATCGTAGAGTTAGAAAGGTCGTCTGTCATAATAACAGAGCGATAAACGCTGAGCTAATTAAGATTTGAATATGAAAGCCCGTTTTAACACATAAACATATTGTACTTTTTTTATTTTTGACGCCACATCTCTTAAACGCGCGCGATTTTAATACCAAACTATATTTTTGGCACTAATTGTTTTGCAAAAGTGTAAAAAAAGGGATCATGATTACGCAATACTCGTCTCGTTTTAATAATTAGACACATACACGTTTTTATAACAGTTCTATGACGTTGATCCTGTGAGGAATCTAGTTAACTCTGAACTACATGCCTACTAGTGCTACAAACTGTGCAAAAACTTAAAAACCAGCAACCCGAAATCATTTCGGTGGTTCAATGAGGAGGTTTTCAGCACTCGATTCTAGTGAACTTCATTATTGGCAAGTCCTATTCAATTATTAACTGAGTTCCAAGCTGTTGTTTTATTGCTGTTCCTTGGTTTATTTTATAAGACATTTGTGGGCTTTTAATGAGACAAAAAATAAAAAGGTAACAATGAATTTAAGACTAAATAACTATAATATATATTTTATATACATAACCGTGGACGAATGACTACTTTTTGCATGGTATGGTATATAACTAGTCTGGCCATAAATACTATTGCAAAAAAACTTTATTTTTTTTATTTTTAACTATTTTGACTTTGGAACACGTATATTATTTTAAAAACCTATTTGGATTTTGCCCCTTTTCACATACTTTTTCGTGTTTATTATCAAATTACAATATGAAATGGGGCATTAAAGAAAATAGGACTGCAGTGATCGCCTTGCACAAAGTGGATATGGAGCCGTCGGTCATATTCCAGACACTTCAAAAGCTTGGTATCAGCCGTATGTTCGCATATCGTACTATCAACAGATACAACAACACTTCGTCTGTCGAAGACCAGAAAAGATCGGGGCGGCCGCGTGCTGTTAGAACTACAAAGACTGTTAATGCTGTTAATGCCAGAATTCGTCGAAACCCCATTAGAAGCATAAAATCTTATCACCAGAAATGAAGATTCTCGCTAGGACTCTGTCGCGTTTTATAAAACACGACCTGATATTCGGTGCTTATCGTCGATATACAGGACATGCCCTAAATCAATCTTTACAATTAAAGAGATGTAAAAATTTTCAGGATTGAAGAACACTACAATAAGCAAAATGATAAAATGTACGCTTAGAATTATAAAGAAGCTGCTCAAGTTATTGGAAAGTTACAACGTGATCATCATCCTGCGTCAGTGATGGTTTGGTGGAGCGTGTCTTATCAAGGAGTCACAAAACTACATTTTTGTGAAAACGGAGTGAAAACTTCAGCCAAAGGGTATCAAGATACAGTCGTGGATCCTGTTGTGAAACCTCTCTGCAATATATTTTTTAAAAATATACCGTAGACTTTCCAGCAGAACTGTGCATCTTGTCACAAGGCACGAACTACCCAAGCATGGCTTGAAACCAACGTTCCGGACTTTATAAGAGCTGCAGACTGGCCCTCATCTAGCCCAGACCTCAACCCTTTAGACATCGAATTATGATCAGTTTTAGAGGACATGGCCTGTTCTAAATGACACGGCGACATTGAGTCTCTAAAAAAATCTTTGGAGCAGCGCCGAAATTTCCCTTGAAAACAGTGCGTAAGTCCATAAATTCGTGGCCAAACAGATTAAAGACCTGCATAAAAGCCAAAGATGGCAATTTCGAATAGAATATTGTTTTATTTTTTGCTGAGACTTTAATAAATATGTAAGTACAAAATTTTAATAATATTACATTACTTCATTTTAAAAAATGCATTTTCATTTGTAATAAAAGTTATGGCTGGACTAGGTATTCAATTTCAATTTATACCGACTTTATTATTGACCGGATAACCTCTTTGGGCAATGGATCGGTTTAATCGAATATTTCAATATTTCAAATTTACACAAAATTTGAAAGTTTTTTATTAATTTATTACTGATCTTTATAAGCCTGTCATGTTGGTAATTGACATGATCCTAAAGTAGCTAATTTTTAATATATGAGATGAAGGTAAACTGATCTAGATTGTGCTTAGTGCATTTACTAGATAACTGCTGTTCACGATGCCTGTAATTATGTTTAACTATTCATTACAGCACTTAGGATCGAATGAGATAGTTCCAAAAGTTCATTTTTGTCTTATTCATTGTAATTAAGGCGTCTCTTTGATTTTTGTTTCTGCTTAACCCCATCTGAAGGGCCAACAGTTTCTGCTTACGTTTGGGATTTCTTTGAATTCGCGCCTTCACAGCTTTTATCACTGCTGGAGTCCTAACAGACCGAGGGCGACCACTTCTTGACCTGTCATCTACACTAGAGTCTTCATTGTATCGTTTGATGGTACGATAAACGAATCTTTTGGTTATATTCAAATTTTTCAGTATGTTAAAAATTTGAATTGGCGCGTAACCGCAACGATGCAACGCAATAACTGCAACACGGTCTTCTTTAAGCGTCCACTCCATATTTAAAAATGAGTAAAATTCTAAAAGTATACATTTTTATTTTCATGAACAATTCGAAATTCGAATTCAATAAACTTTTTTGTGGCCAGCATTCTAAAAGAAAAGTTTTTACTGTGTGACAATACTTATGACCTGACTAGTTATACACTCGTAATTTGAAAATTATTTATATTCAAATAACGAATTGAGTTTAGAAGTGACTGGAGAATTTATCGACACAGAGGTTATCAAAACATCCGTATTATCTTACGCAAATGCTTCTATTAACAGAAAATAATCATTTACTTGGACGTGAATAAATTTGATCGTTCATCAATTTTACAAGATTGCTTTGTTACGTACGTGTGAATAAACAGGCTTTAATACAAATTATATATTCTAATATATACTATGTAGTGAAGAAAATAAGACCCATAATAATTCGTTTTTTTTTTTCTGAGTTATGTACGTATTTAGGTTGAGTCCGTCCTATTCGAATTTACGTGCTTAACTTGATTAACGTGTATATGTTCACTATTGACTTCCACGGTGTAAGAATAACATCGTGTAATAAAAATCAAATATGTACCTGCAAAATTATAATTTGCGCAATTACTGGAGGTAGGACCTCGTGAGTGAGTCCGCACGGGGAGGTACCACCACCCCGCCTATTTCTTTCGTGAAGCAGTAATGTGTTTCGGTTTGAAGGGTGGGGTAGCCGTTGTAGTTACATATGAGATATAAGTTCTAAGATCTTAGTATAGTTATACTACCCAAGCCTGAGTATAGTTATACTGAGACCTTAGAACTTATATCTCAAGGTGGGTGGCGCATTTACGTTGTAAATGTGTGTACGAACGGAATCTTTCAAATCAAAGTTCACCCACTTCTAATTGGCTGTCTCATCATATAATTATTACTGTGTTATGGGTATTTCTGTAATAAGGTGTTTTACTGATAACTTAATAAATTTCAAGTAGGGCTATATGAATGGGTTCTCAGTGAACTCAGCTAGTTTATAGTCAATTTTTTTTTCTACCTATTTGCTGGTAGCTTACAGGGCCATTCCATCTAAGTGCAGACGGCTAGGTGACCTCACGGACTCGACCTGAGAGAATTTGCTAACATTAGCCAAAGCAATAGCCGTGCTTCGCAGTACCTACCACCGGATCGGAATCGCGACCCTCTGAGATTGTCCAGAGAGAAACTGAGCGGAGTTATGGTTCATCATATTTTAGTAGTGCTGTTCACGGATACTGTATTAAACTGATACTTTATGTTTTCATACTTTATGTAGTCAAATTATAATCACCTAGCATCTTATTTGTTTTAACAGTCCCCAAAATTAAGGCAATCAAACTATACTACAAGAAACTTACCACTTTATGGGTGGAACGTTATCGGTATAAAATCTTCGATCTGTGGTCATGCTGTTGTTCAAAACGGCAGCGAGACTTGGACATATGCATCGGCACCTCCTGTCTTCGTAAAATTGACCCTAGACACAAGATTTACTGTGTGATGATATTTAAAAACATAGTCTGAAAAGTGGACATTGGATATTGGTGTAGCGTTTTTTTTTTTGATAAATGTATGGACGAGTTCACAGCCCACCTGGTGTTAAATGGTTACTGGAGCCCATAGGTCTCAGTATAGTTACAACGGCTGCCCCCCCCTTCAAACCGAAACGCATTACTGCTTCACGGCAGGTTGGTGGTACCTACCCGTGCGGACTCACAAGAGTTCAACCACCAGTAAATTTACTTTGTTTTTCTCTTTTACTTTTTATTTCACTCTTCATTGAAAAATAAGAATCCTTGAATACAAAATCCATATTGTATATCAAACAAGTTCCGTTCAGGCTGGTTGTAATTCCATTGCATGAAGTTTTCTACCCAAAATACTAATTTATGTACATGCTATACAGATGCAGATAAAGCTGCAGACGAAAAGTCAGTATAGTAATAAAACTCAATTCTGTTGCAACTATCTTCTTCAATCTGTCCACCCAATGCTGAGTGCAGGTCTGTTCGTATGCACCCCATTCTGTTTGGTCTCTTGCCTTTCTCATCCAGTCTCTACCAACCACTTTGACCAGGTCATCGGTCCACCTCGTTGGCTGTCTGCTCACGTTACGACTTCCAGTATGAGGTCTCCACTCCAGTACTTTTGTGCCCCACCGATTACCAGTGCAACGGCATATGTGGCCGACCCAATTCCACTTTTTCTGAGCAACTGTCACACTAGTGCAATATAAATGGCATGTTTGAAATTCAGGTCACATGAAATGGCATCTAATTCAAATACTTGAGTCTCAGACTTTAATTATTTTCTTTTCCTAAACTATCGATACATAAACTATTGCTCAATCAACTACTGAGAAGAGTTTCAATGACCATATTGACAGGCATGAATCACAAATAGCTATGTAGCAGTAACTTTCATTAAATATATGAGATATTTTAGAAAATCCTGAATCTGCCGAATGATATTTCAATAATTGATAGTTAAATGTTCAATGTAGAACAATGATAGTCCAATTGTTTAAACGAAACTGAGTTTAAGGACTAGTTTAGAGTTTTTAACCTACAGTTATGGGACTAGGCATGGGTATTACATAAAATCTGATCGAAGCATTTAGGATATTCTATTAAACTGAAATTTTGTTTAACCTTACAACTACTACTACTAAAGTACAACTAAATTTTTTATATTTATTACTATAATAAATAATATTTGAGATGAAACTGATCACAACAGTAGTTCTTACCAATACAGGCGAAAAAATTAAAACGAAACATATGTATATATTCAACTCCATCTTCCACTTCTCACTTCAAAAATACATTTCATGTACGATATTCTGTAATATATAAGGAAGCCCTGAAGTCGTTCGTTACATATTTAACACAGATTTATCTTAATTTTTCTAAGTTTAAACAATATTCAACAAGTACGTCTACAAATTTGACAGCGGCTGATAATTCATTCAAGGTCTATGATTTAATCAACATCAACACAGTGAAATACATTGACAATGACGTTTGAAGCGCATTGACATTTACATTTTTGCAAAAATAACTTATTACATAAAGTTCAACATCTTTTCAAAAACCAAATGCACTTCTTCCAATAAAAAATTAAATAAACACATTGAGGGAGTCCATATAGAGTCCCTTCTTTATTTCGCCGTAAAGTCGCGTTTTATGTAATTAACACCACAGTTGAAACAATAGAAATTGTATTGTTGTAGCGGCATAAACAATTCTAAGTTATTATATTATATTGATTATTAAACACACATTATAAATTATTTTATGTTTTAAATTTTTGGCGGTAAAAAGGACTCGTGTCACAGACTATCTTCTTTTTTACACCTCTCGTGCGTTCCGGCTTACACATCATAAATATGTGCGTTCTTAAACGCCACAACATAAATTATGTTTCTTTTTTTTAAATTTTAGTTCTAATTTTCATATTGTATTTTAATGCTCATTGTGTGCTACAATTTTTATTGATGTATACTTCAAAAAATATTTTTGTCACAAAATCCTCTACGTGAGGCAAATAGCTTAAGAATAATTTTAACAAATGGGTGTATTGAAACATATTTACTCAGAAGTACTCGAGAGTGGCGATTACAATCTCAATATTTTTTTTAGCAGGAATGCAAGTTTTGTTTAATTAGGTATGTAGTATTTCTTCTTGCTTAAACGTGTAATAGTGGTTGCCATTTAGCTAACTTGTAAGTGAATATGTATCGAAAAAATATATAAATATCGCTGATTGTTGCTTCTCATAATCTTCTGAAAAGTCCAAGTCATTTCCTGTCATTTTATTTTATTTTACATTTTATTATTTTATGACTAAGTATTTCATTTCATCTCATTCTTTTCATTACATTCAATTTCAGACCAATCGACTTTATTTCATTTCGCTCCATTTCATTTTTCATTGAACGCAGTTTATTTGTATGTATTTAATAAATTTAATGTTTATTTACAATAAAAAGTTAAGATCTTATAAAATGAGACTGAAAAGTATATCGGAAGAAGCGGTTACGATGCTGAAAAAAAAACAATGAAAATAGGATGAATAAAATTGTTTTTTTAATTAGATGAGCAATAATAATAACACTTTGTTTTATCAATATGTCTAAAAAAAACAGATTATTTGGAAGTACGGCTTAGTGTTTTTTCACAGTACAATTTTTTAATAAAGCTAAATAGAATGTATTAAGGAAAATTTTAAAGTGGGTATAATAATTAAGTAACATTCTTCTCTATTTACTGGAATGCAACCCTATATGTTCAATTCCTAAAAATGTTTTTCATGTTTAAGGACTATTTGCCTCACTAGTCTTAAAAGGTATTAAATAATCTATCGCATTTTTAATACTTTTTTAGCTTGATCTATGAAATTAATTAATTACGTAAGGCGTAATGTAATTCCATCAACGTCACAACGCCCGATTAATTTGAAAGCTTGGGCATGTATCAAGAACCGATGACAGTGCAATAATTGCCTTACTTTGGCCCACAATCCTGGCTGCAAACTCTTTCTACTTTTTCTTGCCCTTACCTTACATTATGTGGGGTCGGCGCAGCATGCCCTCGTAAATGCTATTTATTTTTACAATCAGCCGTATGCTTGAGGTCAATCCTCCTTAGGTTGGATCTCCGTAGGTATATTCATTGAAACGTGCCATAAGACTTTTTCTATTGATATTCTCTTTGACTTCATATAAACTTTTGGTTCTTTATTAATTTATTACTATAATCCCTACTAAGACCACCATGTTTAAAACATAATTAATATAATGTTTAGTCGGCATGTTGTTCAGATATGTTTTAGACAATCATAAAATCTGTGTTTTTGTAAAACAAGTGGTTTTTTCTTCCTCCTTTGGATTAAATGTGACCAAAATCCCATCGCGCAAGACATTGCTTATCGGAAATGGCGTTGGGTAGGACACACTCTACGGCGCAGCGGAGTCAAAGCAGCATCAATCGCGTTTGAGTGGCAACCGCTTGGCAGGAGAAGACCTGGTCGCCCTGTACACACTTGGCGACGCACCGTGGAGAATGAGATGAGGACTGTCAACGTGACTTTGAGTGATGTCAAGGAGCAAGCGCAAGACAGGGTAAAGTGGAGACAACTTGTGAGGGCCCTATGTACCAGCGTGGTACCCTAGGACTACAACAACAACAACAACAACTCAATTACTTACTTACAATTTCCGGTGTTGTAAGAACTTTACGATGCTTCCTTTTCTAACGACATTGAGATACGTTTTAGAGACTGACTGTTATAAGTTATCGAATCGTAATCGCAGTTTCCAATTTCATCTTCCGTAACACTCAGCTATATATAAATTTTGCTAGCAATGTTAATCGATGTCGAGAGGGCTACGGGTAGCAATTAAATATGTATTTTTTATTTTGACTCAAAATGTCACCATTCTCAACAAAGTTGCGTTCAGCAGTGTTTTTAAGTACGGTTCCCTATTTGTGTCGGGCGACAAAGTTTGAGAACAAATATCCACCAGAGAATATTTAAATTTTTAATATTTACTTAAATCAATGTCTAAAAATTTACTTCGTTAGTAAATATTATATCATTTATTAAATCATCTTTTCATTTATCACTAACTCAGGTGGAATTAGTAAATTAAAATGGACATCTTTACATTATAACTTTTCGATGTTGTACCTCCGATGTGTACCTATAATTTAAAATATAGGTCGGTGAAAAGTGGAGCACACCTATTATTTTCGAAGATTCCATATTCTGTTGATGTCGAAACATCAATGTGCCTCCCAACGAATTTCAACGAATTCAATAACAACGATATATCGAAGAATTATTTGTAACCGTAGGTATTTTCCGGATCGTCTTTGATTCACAATAAGCGCGGGCGTGTACTGACGCCCACAGTTTTTTTTTGTTCTGCGGGCTGCTACACAAATAATAATGCAAAGACATTCTGAGAAAATTGAGAACTGGCCAAACGACCAGAGCTGTATATTAAAATCAAATTATTAATAAAAGTAAATAAAAAGTTAAGTAGGAAGATAATAGTTAATTAGGAAGGCAATCATTTCTAGTCGCCACAGAACCATTAGAAAGGAGTAATGACTTAATTGGTTTGCCCTATTAACGGTATCTCACAAATTGAATCTGACCTATTTTATTCCAGAAATTAAAATGATAATTAATGTTGAATGATCATATATAAATAGATATAAAATGTAATCTACAAAGCGCTTGTAATAGAGTTCTACTAGTTCTTTAGTCTATGTCTTGAGGTTGCTGACGGATCATGTTTTGAAGTGGATAGAAGTATAAAGTGTTATTTTTGTGATGAGTGTACGTGTTATTTATAAGGTAATTTTATGTTATTTTATTTTATTAACAACAGTCGCGTCGTCAGCTGAATTTCACGAATTTACTAACAGCTGATTTCGACGTTAATAACTTGTCATAGTACTGCCTAGGTGGCATTTTTGCATGTCATAAATTGAAGATTAATATTATTTAATTCGTTTATTTTTTTTATTTTTCTTAATTTTGAGGTAATCATAAAGTAAAACAATGATGCCGGTATAAAGTCTAATACATATAGAAACAACAAGAGACAGGTACCGGTGTATCTTCAGTAATTATCATACAAAAAATTATTTTAAATGGAGTTGAAGAATGCTAGGATTTTCTTTTAATTTCTTCTTTTTATTTATTTATATTGCGCCTTATTTTAAGAGTGTTTGTTGAGTGCAGGGATCCTTTATATCAAAGAGAAAGGAAATATTTTTAGAAATAAAAAATAACAATAGCAGTAGGTAAATAATGATAATGATATTATTTTTATGATTTCATTGAACTTACCTTCAATGAATGTGTTATTGACTTCTATTATGTTTCTTGTTGTCATTGATAACATACTTATGACTAACAAGAATGTACAGTGAGATTGTTCCACCCTCATTTTAATTTATTTACAAATCATTATAAAAATTGTAATTTTTATTTCAAAATTTACACTCAAGATTGTTAAAGGTCTCAATACCCAGCAGATGATACTGTATACTTGTAAAATTTGTTTGTACATTTTAATACGTAGTTTTCACGCTGCTCATTATTTAAGTAGTAAATAGAAATAAAGTAAATGGAGTAAGACAAAATTAATAAGTATAGAATGCCAAAACTAAAAGTAATATAGACTAATCTAATGCATATTTAAATTTGAAAAGTTATTTTGTATTTTACTTGGTTTGTATAAATATTGTGGCTATGTGAATACTGAGCTTAAAAAGATACTAACAATAACCTTGTAGATATGTGATAATATTTGTACGTTTGTTTTCATATCAAACCTACCACATACTAAATAGGAAATAATGGAGCTATCAATTTAACATCGTCATTTTAAAATTTGAAAATAGAAATAAACAAAATTTAAAAAAACTAAGATTGAGTGTCGAACAAAATTGAAAGCAATATAATTTTATTAAAATTATAATGAATATGGAAATGAAAACATTCATAATTAACATGAAATTTTATTAATTACAACAATGTTATTATATCATTATCTATTTTATCGCCATTTAATTATTTAGCATAATTTCATAATTGCTGTATTGATAACATTGTCATTTAATTGATATAGAATGTGTACGGAATTAAAAAAAAGCAGATAAGTAGTTATGAATAATTTAAAATTCGTAATATTATTGTCAGAAAGATTTTTTTATATATTTACTTAAATTAATATAACTATGACTATTGTAACCTAAGTGATTAATGTCAATGGATAAAAATTTAGATTTTACTCTTTTAAATTATTGACAATCAATTCTCAATTAAATTAATACTATGTCAATGTCAGTGAAATTGTATCTCAAATGTAGAGCATGCAACTAAAATAGTCGCCGGAGCATAATTCAAGTGTCTTACTACTAACGAGCGTCTCCTGATGTAAAGAATCATTTAGCAAAATTTATAAAATTAAATAAAAATACGTTATATAAAACACCTTCAATTTTTACACATGTTTTTCCAAAAGTTGAAGATGTTTCGTTTTGAAGATGTCCTTTTATTTAAGATCCCTGGTAGATTAGTTTTCACCGATGAAAGGACAGCAAATGCTCGTCCCTATTTTAATTACGTCCGTAGCCGAAAGAGCCGGTCGCGATGGCCGACCTGATGCCCATCTGATGGTAAACTTGAGCAATACTGTTTTATAACCAGCGGTCGATATTTAGTTACATGAGCAATAAAATGCTTCGCCTACCGTTGATCTTTTATTTAATTCATTGCGAGACTCTATACAGCTTTACGAGTGACCTGGTTCAAAGGAATTCTAGTACTGGGGCAGGATCGTACTTAGGGGGTTTACACGAAATAATATTAATTTTATATTCACTCGAATTTGTTGACTATGGTTTAAGTAATGTAAACAAGCCTTTGGTTTCGACGAATTTCGCGGAAACACCTACAATGAAATTGATATAAAAGACACGATTTCGTATTTGTTCGACTCTACATCCCAGTATACTGACTCCTTACTACGAGTATTGCTACATTGTATCAAATTATTTTCTGTATGACGTTTCTTAACACAGGACATCACGTTTTTAACGATGTCATAAAGTTACACAGACAAGCTTGCTTCAGATCAGCTGTTATGACACCGTAACTCGTGGACTAGTCGTAATCATGATCGAGTGATATAGCAATGATAAGTACCAGTTTCTCCCCATTGCAATTTAGTTTCAGATTTTTATGTCATTACACTATAAAGCGTACTACCATGTTAATCATACATATATATATATCGGTAATTGAAATAATTAATAGCGCCTTTAAAACATGCCAAAATAAACCCTCACCCACTTACGGAAAAAATCGATAATGGACTAGGAGACCCATTGTCGTATCAAGTGGAAGCTGTGATACGGAAAAACGACACAATGCTAAGTTTAACAAAAATGTATCGCAGTTAGACGTCGCACTTCGTTATTACTTATTTTGTTGAGACGTTAACGTACATATTATACAATTTGAGGAAAAACTAAACTCGGTTAATATTTGTAGTCAAACTAGAAAATATATAGTTTGTTATATATTTTTCTATAATACAATTGGCAGATATATCGGTAATAGGAATCACCATCACCAAACAGAATGATGTGGTAGCCGTAAAAACAATTACGTAATGTAGTAAAGATTAAAATGGAATCCACATTATATGTACCTACTACACGAAAGTTCAACGAAGAATCGAATAAGTCAAAGACACGAATTGATATTCTGTAAACCTCTGGAACCTCGTGTCTGCACAGTACAACAACGATTTAAAATACGGGAATTTTCAAAAACTTAATCATATTTTTAATATTCATGAAGACATTAAAAGTGTTCATGTATATTATTTTCGCTTCGTAATGATCTCTTTTCGTTACACAGTTGTATAAATTCATCCACTTGTGATAAACGTAAGTTTTAATCATATATTTTTTTCTTAAACAAAATCCCACGCGTTTGTTGAAGTAAGTAGATCAAGTAATATTTTGAAAGTTTTTGCGATAGGTATTATTTAAGAATTGAGGGTGTAAGTAAATCGATACATAAAATATAGGTAAGCGGCAATGCAGTTGTTGCCCTACGTCACAAAAGTAGCACCATCGAAGAAAAAAACACTTTTATTTACACTGCACGTTATGTAATGAAGAATCGCCTTAGGCGACGAGACTCATCCAACTTTAGATTACAAAGGTCACAAAATACTAACCTATTAAATTATATCATTCTAACTTAGTAAACAAATCAGCTCTCTCGCTTGTTATTTCATTGCTTATTCGGCTGTAGCAAGTGATTAGGGTCGATTTAATTAAATATTTTTTCATCGTAGAAATAATGACTTGTGAAGTATAATAAAATATTGTGCAAAATTTTTAGCACAACTTTCTTTTTTTATTTTTTACAATAAATCCTAAAAGTTAATAATGTAGGCGAAAGTCAATTAAATAACCATTATTAACTTAAAAATTGCTGGTCGGAACTCAATAAAATACGAAGTAATCGCTTTCAAATAAAAAAGGGACCATCAAAATCGTTTCACCTAGAAAACAGTTCAAAATTACCACAGAAAAGTTTTTTTTTATTTGGTCAAAAACTTCCGTCATCTCTGCATTGTTAGGAATAAATTTGATAATACATGCCGCTTACTCTATTGTGCAAAGATACCATAAAAAACAGATTTGTCTGAATTCGTTGTTATTTCAAGCACACATCATTTCGACAGAGTTCGGCATTCACCCTTTTGAATGTCTCGTTCGGCTGAAACCTTAAAACCTTAAATAAGTAAAAATGATCCTTTACGCTTATGACGAAATGACGGCGATAAAAAAAGCTTCCTCAATATTTTTAATAATAGTATTCAACGACGGTGTTGAGGTTACATTATTTGAATAATTAAATTATAGATTTCATATAACTTTGCTTCGAAGGTAGGCAGGCGGACCTTTACGTCATGGCGTTCAAGTTGAAGATCTGTGGATGTGAACGGTTTAACAATAAAATTAAATCAAATTTTCTGTCACATAATCAACGTTGCAAATAACAGAAAAAATATATTATTTAGATCTAGTTGGAACAAACAGTTTTAAATATTATGTTCTATATTTTATTTAAACTCAAAATTAATTTTTGTTAAAACATCTCCATTAATACTCATCGTTAGGCAGTCATACCTCTAGCCAGTCTCGTTCCAAATTCGAAAACTGAAATGTTAAGTATTATAGTATCTCTCCGACTATAAAGTTACAAAAAAAAAAGATCTTGTAGACTACGCGGTAAAAAATTAAGAATGTAAAAGGGTTCACATATTATTCAACGTGCTATGCAATTTACGTTAAATGTGTTCGCGTAAATTGATGTATAGTATGTTCATACCCACAAATGAATAAACGTGTAAGCTCTGTTTATATCTTGCGGACTTCATTCATTAGACTATAATAATTAGCGTATCTAACGCAGCGCTCCCTCAACCTAGAAACAACGATTTATGCAAGAGACTTAGCTGCAAGTACAGCGCTATTCTGTTAAAGATCGCGAGTTATGTACCCGATATGAATCTTATACCTTTAAACGAGAAGTTCTTGTATATATATATCATCTGAATCTCGGAAACGGCTTCAACGATTTTCATAAAATTTAGTGAACAGGTGATTTCGGGGGCGAGAGATCGATCTAGCTACGATTTATTTTCAGAAAATGTTGTTTTATTCGTATTTTCAATAATCAACTTTATCGATAATCAACTTTATGACTCTTCCCGACATCTATTGGCGAATAATAATGCTATTTTTCTTAATTGAGGGCAA